GTAGAACAATACTTATTATATTGTCGCCGAATTACAATGAAAATTCAGGATTCAATTATACAATCAAACGTCAGGAAGTGATTGTAATTTAGCTCATAAGATTTCATTCCAACTAACATGGCAAACTGAAAAAACAGCTGTGATCTATTTTAATATGTTTAAATGATGTAGCAAATTTGAAGGTAGGCTTTATCAGGAAGTATTACGATATGAATTACACAATGGCAACACTGCACAAAATTGTTTTAAATTTTGTTTGTAGAAAACTGTTTTCTTTTAAATTTATTGCCCTCTATTATGTAGTAGCGAAACTACCACATCAAAATATCTGATTTGGAGACAGACTTTTAAAGCCTGTCTCCTTTTGCTACCTACAATTTTATACATGTAACGAGGCTTCTGTTGCGTAGCTAGATATTCTGTGCTGTTTGTATTAGTTGCAATGTTTGAAATTGATTAAAAAATTATTTGTAATGTTTTAAAAAAATGGTGTTTTATTCGAAGTAAAAATATACTTTTTGTGCCTCCTTGTAACGTCGGAATAGTTTTACGATGGTCCTCAAAATGTACAGCATTGTCAAAAAAGTATAATTTCTACTCTTAATAAAACAATACACTATTGTTCGGGAATAGTCTTAAATCGAGAATGAAATTAGTATTATCCTTGATTATTACAGTTGAGGGTTGGAACCTTTGGTGTTACACAGCAAAATAAAAACACTAAATCACCACAATACACCAAAACACTTTTACTTTTACACTGGACGCGCGTTTCGTTAACCATGTTAGCATCATCAGCAGATGATTATAAACTGAGTTTTAGAGAGAGAGGATTATATATCCTTGATTATGTATTACCTAATGTCAAAGTGTAAAGTACTTACTGCAAATCAAAATGTCGGTAAGAATTTGGAAACATACCAACGTTTCAAAAAAAAAATATAAAACAACATACATTTTCTGACAACGATTATAGATTTTCGGGAATGAAGATATAGTCGTCTCTATATCAGAAGAACCTAGTTCTGCACCAGTCTGCGAATGATATGTATTCGAACAGCGAAAAAAAATAAATCCCTGCGTTTAGCGGTCTTAAAATTCACACAAAATTACTTCAAAAATCGGTTCAACATTTAAATTGATGAATAGGTATTTTTATACGGTTTTATAATAAAATTTACAATTATTTTTCGATTTACTATCTGTTATATCTGTTATAGAAATATTTTTTATAGTTTTCTAAGACAGATTTTTCTAACTTTTATAGTTATTTTTTTATTTATTATCAAGTTTCAATAAAATTAATTTTTTGATTTAAATCACATGATTAAAATTTAAAAAAATCACTTGATTCAAATCATGCCAACTCTGCTTTTAACTCATAAAACGAATTTGAATAATCGACAAAAAATGCTCAACTTTTCAGGGTGTACACATCTTCCCGCGATGTCAAAGCAAAAAAAGAATAAAAATAATAATTATTTAAATGTACAGGGTGGGTCAAATTGGACGCTTTTAAAGGGAAACACCCTTTTCTATAGCAGATAGACGAAAACTAATATTGCGGTGTCTGGAGCTCAATTTTTATCAAAAACAAGGTGATGGTGAAAACCGCACATCGATATCTGTTACCTTCTCAAAAATACGGAGTGTTTTTCAAAAATGTGCATTTTTAACAAATCGCTGTAACTTTTTTGCTATGGAAAATGTATTTCTATGAAAACATTTCCAAAGCACCTTTTTACGTAGAATTTAATGGTTTAAGTATATTTTTTGTATATTTTTAATTCATTGAAAATAATTTAAAATTACCTTTCCAAAAATATAGCATACTTTTTATTTTGCTCGATTCCCTCCTCGAGATATAGAATTTTTAAAAATTCGCCCACAATGTCCAAATAATGCCAACAGGCTTTGAACGGCGCCGGTTGTAATGCAAAAAAATTCTAGCTGTGAGCAGCAATTAAAACAAAAATAATATTTGCAATGAGAAATGCAAAATTTTACAACAATTTAAACTATATATTTAACAACATCAACACATTTAAACTATATCTAATAACAATAAAAATTAATAGCAAACCAAGACATGAGATTATGCTGTTATGCTACAGGTGTTCGACATTTGTTAGTGTGCGAACACAGTGCAAGCAGGTTTGCCGCTTACTGGTAGTCAGCGCCAATCTGGGCACCTATTCTTGACATCGTTCGCAACTTTGCGTATACGCATCACGTGTATTGTTATAAACAGGGTATCCCAGAAATAAGTGCAAGTATTTTAAAGGGTGGTAGATCTCGATAAAAGAAACATATTTTCTCTTTATCGTTTTTCAAATAAGTCCAAAATAATGGAGTTATTTTACTTTGAAAATTTCCAAAAAAAAAAATTTTTTTTGCTAAAATTTTGAAAACCTTCTTCTTCATGTGCCTTCTCCTCATCGGAGGTTGGCGACCATCAATTGGAATTCCTCCCTGTCTTGAGCCAAACGGATAATTGCACTGGCCTCTCCTATATTAAACCACTGGCGCAAATTCCGCAACCAGGAAAACCGTTTACGCCCGATGCCTCGTCGTCCTTCAATCTTTCCCTCAACGATCAGCTGTAGGAAACTATATTTGTTATTTCGAAAAATATGACCAAAATATGCTGCTTTCTGTCGTTTTATTGTAGTCAATAGTTCTTGGTCCTTACACATTCTTTCCAATACTTCGAGATTTGTTTGAGAACCACTGGATCTTTTCTGGATTTTCTTTCTTGTAAATTTAATCTACTACCTATGTTGCCATATTATCAAGAAATTATTTTTTTAATAAAAAACTAAAAAATTGCAAAAATTACAAAAATATTTTCAAAAACTCCGAATTTTAAAAAAAACTATTTAGAAAAAACCTAATAGGCGTGTTTCTGGGGTGAACTATACTACCAGTTAAGTTAAAATACTTGCACTTATTTCTGGGACACCCTGTATATGGTTACATAGTAGCGCCGCGCCGCGCCGCCTCGCGCTTATAACCTTGAAAAATTAAAGCGTGTTATCAAATCGGCTAGTTCACAGTGAAAGCAGGCAGGCACCGTCAACCAGCGTTCATCGGCGTTCTCGCTTTTACCGGAACGAAAATTTATTTATTTCTGCTTTTGCACGCGCCGACGGCGCACAGGGGGTATTAAGAACTAAAAGTTGGCCAAAATTATGTTTTATGATTTTTTTGCTTTTTTGCTAGTAATATTAATTATTAATTAGAGGAGAGGTTGCTAATATGGAACCCCATTTTGTTTTTCCTACACAATATTTTTTCCTCTACTCTGAAACCCTTTCCACCGATCAAATAGGGCCATTCTGTGCAAAACCAAGCAATTGGATGAGGATGCTAGAACAAGAAAGTAATTTGTATATTATAGACGATATTTGAGCGAGGATGGGTGTTAATAGGGTAAAGACTATTTCCTTTAAGAATCTATTTAAATCAATGTTTTTTTTGGCAGTGGCAAATATTGGCAAGATTTTTGTGCATATTCCAATGCTGGAGACTTTAAGCATTGAACGGATACTAATTTCCATGCGGAATATTGCCGAATAGTCTTACACCTTATAAAAATGCCACTGATTTTTTAAATATAAAACATTATAAAAAAATAGAATAGAAGGAAACGTTTCAAAATAAAAATATGACATAAAACAGAACAGAGCCAACAAAGCTGGCTCTGTATCCATCATGACAGTTATTATGAACAATTTGCAAAAAAAGCACTACAAACAATTCCACTATTTTTATAATCTTTGAAATATTCAGAATACATTCAAGATAATTCATACTTTTAACTGAAATATATTATTTATTTGATAGTCAACTTACGACTTAAAAAAGCTAATAACTAATAAACTTGCTTAATTAAATGCTTACATTTAGTATTTATAGATTTGTATTCAGTTAAGATAAAAAATGAAAATAAAAAAATATCACTTTTGGCCAGGTTTATAAACCAAATACATCTATGTGCGGCCCCGGCGAGGCGGGCGCGGCGTTTGAATATGGTTTGGTTAGGTTAGGTTAGTTAATCAGGTAAATTTCCTCTTAATTATCTACTTCCGAATCCTTCTCGCATCTCCGAAATAGCCATATACAATACACGTGATGCATATACGCAAAGTTACGCATCTGTGTATTGTTATATGGCTTTTTAGGAGATGCGAGATGCGAGCGATATTTGAAGATGCGAGTGGTCAAGAATAGGTCCCCAGAGACGGCGCTGGTTGCCGGAAAGCAGAAACCTGCCTCCACTATGTTCGTACCCTTATGAACAGACGGGACCGTTTCTGAACATTTCTTGCAAAATTCATTAACTCCGGGGAGGGGGGTGAATACCCTCGCATAACCGCTAAGTACTTCTAATTCTTGTCTAGATTATACGGGCAATTTAAAAATAAGAACCTTTATTCTTCCGCAAAGATAAAAATCCACTAAGGACAGCAGGCACTAAGTCCGGCGGCCTCGACGGACAACGGCTGGGATCTTACTTAGCTATTCAATTATTCTCGAAATTGGCTGATAACTTCAGCATTCTGAAGCGGTGCCTCGTCTTGCTGGAAAAATATGTTTTTGAGTTCCATTAGGGGCAGATCATCAATAAGGGGACCAAACCTTTCTATTTAAAAGTGGCGAACTTTTAAAAATTCTGTATTTTGAAGGGGACTATAACAAAATATCAAGTGTGCTATATTTTTGGAAAGGTAATTTTATTTCTTTTACTTAATTAAAAATATACAGGGTATATAATTAACATATTATTACAATATAATTAATTAAAAATATACATCCCAAATAAAAAATCTTTTTTTCTGTTGATAACTCTTAAATTATTCATTTAAAAAAAACAAACTTAAACCATTAAATTCTACGTAAAAACGGTGCTTTGGAAATGTTTTCACAAAAATAAACAAAGACACTAAATTAAATCATATAGATCATCCCTTCAAACAATGTACTGTGCTATTACTTACTCATTTATGACTTTCCCCTGAACGATCTGCATCAGCTCCTGGTCCATATCGAAAAAGTTGACGAACTTTTCCTCGCGGAAGAACCGCCAATGGATCGACCAGATGGAGTCGGACTGGTAGGGGTTGTAGTAGTTGCGGATGGGCGCCGTCAAATTGACGGGGATGAACCAGCTGAAACGGCCCGGGGGCGATACGCTGCCGCACTCCTTCACGAAGTCCACGACATAGGTGTCGTAGTCGGGCGGGATCCAGACCTCCAGATTGATGGTGCTCTTGGCTATGCTGGAACAAGTAGAAAAAACGATGTTAAAAATCAATATAATGATCATACATGGTGCTACAAATTCTAGGTACGGGAAATTAAAAAAAAGGTATCTCGGAAACCGTAATAGATACGAAAAAGGTTAAATTGGGACAAAGTTGCCTCCTTGGGATGTTCACCAAGATGCTATCAAAAAAGTTTTAAAAATTTGAACGACTGCTGAGTTTTTTGGAAAAAACGGATTTTTTGAAAATCAATTTTATTTTTTCGTGACGTTACTTTTTAGAAAATCAAAAAACTAATTGCACATTCTCACAGTCACTTTATTAGGACTATCTGATAGTATTTTTAGATTTTCAAATTAGCTGATAATTTGTGAGATACAGAGGCCAACTTAATTTTTTTAAACACGGACCTGCTTTTTATTTCAGGTTTTGAAAGAACTCAGTCTCCTGAGTACAATGATATGCCACACTTTATACTTTTTTTGTTTTGGGGACCTTAACGACAACAAAACTATTTATTATTTAAAATAACTTCAGTCCCACTCTGATTTTTTAAATTATTTAATCAAATTATATTCATCGCAACAATATTGATCAGCGCTAATTAACACTGAATATGGAAAAGCGAGCCAATTGAAAGATTCAAATAAATACTGGATATTATTTATAACCAATTGGAAGATAAGAATATCCAGGTCAGCAATTTAAAGATATTATTTTTAACTTTTTTTATTGTGAATTTGAAATCTCAGTGTACGATTCAATAATATGCATAATATTAATCGTAGTTATTATAAATAAATCAATTTCTACAAACTAGTTTCTAATACTCTACATGTTCGAAAGGGTTACTACCATAGACTTAAAATAAAATATAGACTGAGCATCTCATTCATAAATAGCTGGAACATGCGGTCAGACAATATCTTGTTATTGTTGTGTTATTGTTTTAGGTTATAACGAGTGCGACACGAGCGATAGATAGGTTGTCTCTGTCGTAACAGTCGTTCCCTGACGACTCTGCCGAGAAACACAACACTGTCTTTGGTTTCTCAAATACATCTGAACTCTCCGTCTCATAGCCGGGTAAATTTTTTATTTTAATGAAGCTATAATTAAATTAAAAATATATCGTATTTAAACTTTTTTATATTTTATTAAGATTTAGGACAGGTTTTTTAAATAAAAGTTTAGAAAAAACCTCTTAGAGTCCAAAAAGGATAAAAATAATAAAATACACGTTATAGAAGAAATTTTATAATCGAAATTACGTAATTTTTGAAATTAATAATAAATTATTAATTTTAGTCAAACATTTACAACCCCTAATATTAATCAAAACAGGATCTATTCCACAGATATAATAGAATCGGCGACAGGGAGAGAAAAAAATATGATTGTTGTAATTTTTTCTCTGATTAAGTGATGTCTTTATGTATAATGTAAATTAGAGAAAACATAAATCTGTTCCATTAAAGCAAGGAAGATGATAGGAAGTGGATAAAATGAAAACTACATTTATTTAACTCGGTACTGTCTTTATTATACCGGGTGCGTCCCAAAAGTGGCTCATCCCCATAATTTTTTATATTTTCAAATAAAAACAAGATTTAGCATGTTAGTATATGACATAAATTAGGATTGATTGACGCATTCAATTGTTTTTGGTCACTTCCTGTTTCACCGGAAATGACTATAACTTTTAATTTTTAAACGGCACCCTCGGTATATTTCTACTTTATTCGATAGAAAATGACACTCTGAATAGAATGACATATAATATGTTAACTTTTGACATTTTCGCATATGGTTTATTGTAATTGTAACACGCGGTTCATAACGACAATTTGACTCGAAATACCAAGTGTGTAGTATCAATATATTCATAAAAAAATGCTTTTTCCAAATATGCTAATGAGTCACCCTTGTTCCATTTGAAAAAATTGACATATGTATGATTAAAAATACGATTTGTACATCTTTTAACCGGCCTAGACAAGACACGAAACCTATTAGACGATCAAAACTATTTTTCCAAGGCTCCTTGATTAAAACTTAGTGTTTTTAAAAACACCATGGCACCCTGGATTGAAATTTAAAATAGGATATGTTTTTAAGCGACAATGTCAAAAGTTGACATATGATATGTCATTCTATTCAGAGTGTCATTTTTTATCGAATAAAGTAGCAATATACCGGGGGTGCCTTTAAAAATCAAAAGATGTAATCATTTCGGTGAAACAGGAAGAGACCAAAAACAATTGAATACGTCAATAAATCCTAATTTATGTCATATACCTACTAACATACAAATCTGTTTTTTTTATCTGAAAAAATAAAAAAGTTATAGGAGTGAGCCACTTTTGAGACGACCCGGTATATTAAAAAATATTGTTTCATAATGTAATATCATTTTAAAATTCTTGTATGTTATTTTAGATTCTGAAGATAATTTTAGAATAAACCGGAATATATTTTTAATAAAAACATTATTAATTATTAACAATTATTAACAGGGTTATAATTATGATTTTGTTACAATGTAAGTAAGTAAATAATGTAATGTAAGAGAAAAAATTCAGATTTTACTTTTTACTATATTATCTAAATAAGCGCCTTTCTACAACAACGCCACTGACTCCCAATGGGTAAATTGAGAGTTGCCTACCGGTCAAAAGTCGTTTCAAGACTTAAATGGATTATTTAAGTCAAATTTCTTGCAAATTTGGCACTGGCGAACCATATTTTATAGTTTTTGAACAGAAAAAGTCAGTAAAATAAACACTTAAGGACTACAAGCTAAGAAAATGCGTTAATACAGCCGGGGAGATAGCGGCAACAAAGCTTTATCGCACACGTGCGACACGTACTACAAGGTAATAAATGAATGAATAGGCTCCCTCGCCTCTAATCGGTGTTGTCATATTGTAAAGAACTTATCCTTATTAAACAGTATCCGACTTATAATTTAGTAGTATAAGGACTATTTAATACATCTAGGGAATATTAAAACCTACTTTATTAAACTGTAGTATTAATATCTCAATATATGTGTATAACATGAAAAAAAATATTGATAATATTAAAGACGTGACAACATAGGCTGAATGAGGAAGGCTCGGTCGACTGTACCCAGAAGTAAACATGTGTACAAAAAAGGTTGTTTGTCCGCGTTGAGATGTAAATAGTGTAGTCTATATTTTATTTTAAGTCTATGGTTACTACCATTCTCCTTATTGCACAGATTTATTTTTCGTTCAATTTTATTTATAACTCTTTGAACAGATCTTCTTATACTTCCAAATGCATTTTGTACTCTTTATTGTAAATGTTGAGATGTACTGATTTTACTTTTACAAATGACATCAAATGCCCCCCCCCCTCCTTTTTATTATTTTATTGCATTTGATTTTCCGTATTTGGTAAAACAGGAAGTAACCAAAAACAATTGAATACGTCATCAATCCTAGTTTATGTCATATACTAATATACTAAATCTCGTTTATTTATCTAAAAAAATAAAAAAGTTATAGGGATGAGCCACTTTCGAGACGCACCCGGTATATACATACACATATTTGTTACATATTATATTGAATTAATTAGTAATGATGATTGGTTGATCTTCAAGGTTTAAAAGTAATTCTGAAATTTGGATTTATAAAGTTGTAGTTAACAATGATTGAAATAGTGGTTAATTTAATCAATATTGAAGTTTCTGACGTTTTTTACCCAAATGTTAGTTAATTTTTCATGTTTAAAAGTATTATTCATATTGCCATAATTGTATACAGGCACGTACAGACACTCCTTTGGATAATTTTAAATTTTGCTGAATACATTATCTACTTAACGGGTTCTCTCATGAATTCCAAGAATATGACCTTAAATAGAATTTCGAACTTTTGTAAAAAATTTGCGTTATTAAAATAATTACTTATTGTTATTATGAAATCATGTGAAGACGTTTATTTTATAAAAGAACTACAAAAAATACGTTTTTAATAATAATAATAGCTCCCGTATATAGCGTTTAACGCTTTGGGAGTAGCAAGGTACAGCTTGCCATACTAGAGCCGTTCGGTATACAAGAAAGGTAATGTGGCTAGCACTACGCTTCAACCGCCTATTATTACCTCAGGATTGTGAATCCCAAGTACTCATTTAAGGCTGAGTCGACCTAGGTACCCAAACTATTTTTATTTTAATAAAAATAGTCGACTGATGAAATGCCGGGTGTAGGATTCGAACCCACTACCTTCAGATTGGTAGACGAGAGCCTGTACCTCTACGCCACCGGGCACAATTTTTAATAATTAAAAATAATATATAATTATTATATTACCTATGAAATATGAGATGTAAATAAAAACGCGAAAAAATGCAAGACCGCAAGAGTCTTGCACTGGTCAGTCTTGGTTTTGTTTTTTGTGCAAGACCAAGACCAAGACCGAGCCCAGTCTTGCTTATCCCTAGAAGACTTAATATATAGTTTTCAAACAAATCATTGCATACCACATTCAAATTTTTTTTTGAAAAACAATTCAACACCAAAAATAATTTTGGACTAACTAAACAACTAAAACTTTTCTTAAGACCCTGTACATATCAGTTTGACCCTGTTTTCTGCTGCCAAAGTTCAAACACGTGTAAAGCCTATCTTTAAAATCTATACGCACATTGTTATTGTGTATCATGTGTTATTAATGTAAAATAATAAATCAAATTCCGTTCAACTCCATATAGTTTTATTACTGCATATGAAATTGACTGAATTACAGTTTGTTATAGTTTTGTGTCAATATTTCGCAAACATCATTTTTAATGTATTGACACGACCAGATGTTAATTTTGTCAACTGCGTCTCACTTCTCAGGTGTAAGCTCTTCGTCCTTGGTTGCCACATAAATTTTAATACCATGAATTTTTTTATACGCACTTACATATTTAGGTACATATATGTATCGATTCATTTGTATGATCTCGCGATATAGTTAAGAAAGAGATAATTATGC